ATTTGAGGAAAAAGTAGATGCGGGTCTTGAAATATTAAAACACTGTTTTGCGACGTGGTCTCTTTTTCTAACTCACATACACCCTTTTATTTTGACATAGCACAAACATAAATTTTTTCCAAAAACCATTGGTCAAAATTAATTCATCTTTTTAGTTTATGTGAAAAACTCAAAAAATTCATTTTTGTGAAACAGAGAGAGTATATAATATCAAATGAAGTACGGATCGTCAACAAAAATATTTATTAGCAAGTCTATAATGCAGTGATGTATGTCTAAACACACAAAGTAAAGTTTTTATGTGTAACCTAATCAACAAAAAAAGAGAGATTTTATGTACCCTACGAGTTAAAATAAAAATAATTAAAAAGGTGTATATGTACCCTAAACTATTTAAATAATCTTTTTATAGGAAATCCAAATATATTTATCGGAGCAACCTCGTATGGTCGAGTAATATATATAATCTTTTGAGAATTAGTAATTAGAAAGGCAGTACTAAGTAACATGTGGGTTATGAACAACAGGGATATGGTATGACGGAGGCAGGGCCAGTGTTGTCAATGAGCCTTGGGTTCGCTAAAGAACCAATCCCGACAAAATCAGGCTCATGTGGGACTGTGGTCCGAAACGCAGAGCTCAAAGTGGTTCACCTTGAGACACGTCTCTCTCTTGGCTACAACCAACCTGGTGAGATTTGTATCCGCGGTCAACAGATCATGAAAGGTACGTTTTTCTTTCCAAAAAAAAAAGAGTAAATAAAAGTAGAATTATAGAGCATTTTAGTAGGTTTGCATCACATGTACATTTGTACGACATGCTGGTTACTTGTGATATACATCTATCGCCACGTCATTTTACATTTTCGCACACTGACAAGTCTTTCAATTATAAAAGTAATTTTGAGGGGTCAAATTCCAAAACGTAATAAAGAGTAGGGGTCCAATTGAGCAATTTCAACTTTGATTAATTAAATAAGGAGGTGTTAAAAATTGTTGAACGAACATTTGGCGCGCAGAATACTTGAAGGATCCAGAAGCCACGTCAGCAACAATAGACCAGGAAGGTTGGCTTCACACAGGGGACATTGGGTATGTTGATGAAGATGATGAGATCTTCATTATCGATCGACTCAAAGAGGTCATCAAGTTCAAGGGCTTTCAGGCAAGTAGTACAAGAAATAGTACACTAAAAGAATGACGCGAGATTATATAATTATCTTTACTTTACAACAAGAATATGAAAATGTTGATTATTTTATTACAAAAAAACAATACAAGAAATAGTCTAAACTGGTCCAAATGTGCGGAAGAACAGGTCCCTCCGGCTGAACTAGAGGCTTTGCTCATCAATCATCATTCGATTGCTGATGCTGCTGTTGTTCCGTAAGTACTTACCACACTAATATATGCATCGATTCGTACGTGTGTAAAACGTACGGATCGTTTAAAATAACAATAATAATAATTTCTTGGACGTTCTGGTGCGTGCAGACAAAACGATGAAGTCGCTGGGGAAGTTCCGGTGGCATTCGTTGTGCGATCCAATGGAAACGAGATCACCGAAGAAGATATAAAAGAATATATATCCAAACAGGTACACATACTTACTTGCTCTTTCTTTCTTTTTGGTTTAAAATGTTCCCTTCATAGATAGAATGAACAAATAAATATGACTACGTACTAATATTTAAGTAACAACGAAAATAAAAGAAGCTATTACTTGTTATCTGGTTTTTGTATCGAGAATAGAGTGAATAAGTAAGTGATGCATGTGTGGATTTGTAGGTGGTCTTCTACAAGAGATTGCACAAGGTCTTCTTTGTTCCTTCCATTCCCAAATCTCCTTCTGGAAAAATTCTGAGAAAGGATCTAAAAGCCAAACTTTGTTGAATGTATTTTTTTTATATTTATATGATCTCATTGATCATTCAAACGTTCTTCTAATTGTATCAAAAAATTAATACTCATATCTGTTGTAAAC